GGGTGGGTGCGCGGGCCTCGGGGCCCTTCTCACGCAACTCCCGGGCACCGCGCCCCCGACCAGGTGGGGCGGGGATGGGCCGCTTGACCTCTGCCCCCTGGAGGCATGTACCAGGCATATGCACGCTATCCTGCGGAGGCACCTGCACCGGGCGCCCCCCTCCTTGGCCTCTGGGCCCCCTCTCCTGCCAGGCCCGAGGGCCTCTCTCTCACCCTTTCCTTGGCTACCGGAATACCCACTTGCTGCCCGATTTCTCTGCCTGCCAAAGCAATGACAACCCCAGGAGCCAAGAGGGAACCTCGAGGGCCCGTGGGTCTGGCTGGCAGTACCCCTGGTTTGAAGCATTCCAAAGTGGCCCGAGAGGCGGCTCAGCGTGTCCCCGCTAGTGCGCGCTCGGCGAGACTGCACGTTCTCCATCCTTTCCCGCCCCTGCGTCAGGGAGCGCGGACTGGTCTCCCGGGCTCCGGGGGCTCTGGGGGAAGGGGCCAGCCTTTAGGCGCCTCTGGCCTTCCGGCCCCGGTGACCTCGGGGCTGGGGTCGCAGCGCTTCTCACGCGAGCCCGGACTCAGTAACCCGGGTTAGGAGGTCATCACCCGGTAACTCCGCCCCTGCCTGCCTGGCCCCGGCCCGCTAGTAGGGAGGAGGTAGCGCTTGCACGCCTAGTGTTCGGTGGGTGCAAAAATGAGGGTGAAGGGTCTCCGTGCCCGTGGATGGAGCCCTCCCATGCCCTCTCTTCGAGCTGTCCTGGGACTTCTCCCCCTACCCCTCCTCAGTTGGACTCTGTGCTATCCGTGGGGTACCTTGGATTTGGGGGTCCCAGGTGTCCCTAGCCCTCAGTCTTTTGAGTGCAGCACTTGGATGAGGCGTCCTCATAGTGGTTTCTTACCTGTTCTCCTGCGTCTTCCCCCCGCCCTCCCCCCTTCACCCTAGAGCCGCCATTCTCCCCCAACCCCCAGGCTGCCCCTCCCTCTGTCCCATCCCCGGCTCCAGGAGGCGTGGTCACATGCAAAAGCCGCCTATAAAGGTGGCAGTGCCTTCTCCCCTACCCTGAAGGTGACAGTTCCTTGGAGCCTCCCCTGATCTTCTTTGGGGTCCCTGGCTCCAGAGGCCATTCTTCTCAGCTCAGCTCTGTACCTTCTCACAGCTGCAGGTGAGTGATGGGGATTTCTGGCTTGTCTCTTCCTGCCCGAAAAAGGAAATTTTAATGCCTCCAAGTCTTCCTAGGTAGCCACTGTCTAGCACCTCAAAAAAGGAGGCTAAAAGTGTCATTGGTGAGGAGATAGTCCCTCACTAAGTGGGGAAACTGAGGCCGGGGGTGGGAGGAAAGGCAGGACTTGCACAAGGTCCCACACCTTTTACCAAAACTCTAGATTTAAATTCTCCCCTCTCAGGACTCTAGGACCCAGGCTCCAGCTTCACCCCCCACTGACTCCCTGAATGCCTAAGGGCTTCCCCATCAGGGCCACCTGGGAGGCTGGAATAAGGACACAGGTGTGGGAAGCTGGGAGCAAGTGCAGCTCTCCTTCAGTCTGTGTGAGAAGGGAGGTTTCTCCCTGGGTGGTCAGGGTGGATGGGCAGGTTGGGTTCTTACCAGCTGTACCCTGCCTTATCTAAAAGCTACCCCTGGCTGGCACTACCCTCCCAAGGCATAACTTGTTCAGGGTGAGATTTGCGGGCTGGAACAAGGGAAAGTGATCTGAGGGTAGTCCTGGGCACTGCCCAGGGGCCTTCCCTGTTTCACTGACTGCCTTCTCTGCCCTCTGCCTGGAGGCAGTCAGTGTGAGAGACTGCCAGCTGCAGAAAGCTGGACCACCAGTCCCTGAAAACTCAGCAGTCACATGTCTTTTGGCCTCCTAACATCTTACTAAGGCTAGAGGTCTTTGAAGGCACCCAGTGTGCAGAAGGGAACACCATGGCATACCAAGGCCTACCAGCTTCCCCAGTTCACTCTGAGAGTCAAGTGTGCCTTGGGGTTCAGCAACTCCAGGAAGCCTCCCTGGACAGATGGCTATAGTAGCGGAGGTGGGAACCATACAACCTGCCCATCTTGGGTGGCTCTTCTGTGAGGAAACCTCACTAGTCAGACTGAGAGTTTCCCCTGATCAGATCTGGGTTTTCTCTTCTCTGAGATCCAGCTGGGCACCCTGAATCAGAGATCACATTCCCACCTTCCTCTCTCAGGTGACGTGACTGGATCCCAGAAGGGTAAAATAACCAGTCCAAGGCCATGCCACAGAGCCTGGAACACTGGGGGTCCTGATCTCCAGTCCAAGGCACCAGGAAGATGTCCCAGTCAGAGCCTCATGCTTTGGAGAAAGTAGTCCAGGAATTTGCACACCCTTTCTAGACCAAACCTAGAAAGTATTGTCTGAGCCTCTGATAAGTCAGACCCATTCCTAATTTCTGAGATTCCAGTCTGGAGTTTTCTTGCAGCCTTTGGGGGCCTTCCATTAATTCTCAGCTCTCTGATGACTGGCAAATGGGGGAGGCCCAGACTATTCATTCATTGAGAGTTGAGCCCAGTAAAAACCCGGCCTGGAGTTCTGTGACTGGCAGCCTCCATCTAGCTGGCCTCCTGCTGCCTTTGAACTGTGGGTCAGTTGAACTCAAAGAGCTGAGACTGAGGGCAATGTGGCTTAGACAGTAAGTAAGGCGGCAGTCCCCGTCCCCTCCTCACCCTGTCCCAGAGGCTGGCAGCATCTCCTAGATCCTGAGTTTGAGTAGCAGAGAACTGAGTGTTCTGGGACAGTTCCTTTTCATCAATTGATCTGACCACTATTCAAAGGGAGGTGCCTATGGCAGGCTGGAGACTTACCAGAGAGCTTTCCTTAAGAGATCTGAGTCCCGGCTCTGAGTGCTGGGTGACTTTAGCCAAGTGAGTACCCTCTCTGGAGATCAGTTTCCCCAAATGTGAAATGAGGCTGAAGGAGTGGACGATCCCTAGTGTTCTAACAGCCGTGTTCTCTCAAGTTGGTGGGTCATACTCCAGAGGAATTGGGTGATACGCATTGATTATTTGTTTATTTTAATATATGTTAAGGGAAAAAAAGATCAAACTTGTACTTTCACACAGATATTATTGTTTGAAATGATGCTAAGTGGGTGGATTTAAAGTTGATTTTAGAAAAATACGAAGTAAATTATAGTACAGGTGCTCTATGGAAATCACAGACTGACATTTAGATTGGTGCAACAGTTAAGAGAAGGTGTTCTGGAATTAGGCAAATTGGATTGGGATTTGGATCCTATACTTACTTCCTGGCTTTGTGACCTTAGTTAAGTTACTTACCTTCTCTGAGCCTCATTGCAGCCTACCACATAGGCTGTGGCCAGGACTGAACAAAGAATGACTGAAATTTTTGACACACGTGGCAGCTCAATAAACAGCTTCTCCCCCTTCCCTCTACCCTTAGTGCACTCAGTGAGCAGCTCTGAATAAGGTTTACCCTTTCCTTGAACAGCATGCTGACACTTTAGGACATTGGCTCCTCCTATCCCCCCGTCTGATGTGTTGATCTTTTCCTCCTGTCCCATCTCTCAGCACCACTTTGGAATCTCTACGCTGATCATGTTCTCTGTGTTTGGACTCTCCATCCCCATCTCGGCCACGGAGCTTCTCCTGGCCTCTGCCGTCTTCTGCCTTGTATTCTGGGTGGTCAGGGCCTGGCAGTCTCGGGTCCCCAAAGGCCTGAAGAGTCCACCAGGGCCCTGGGGCTGGCCCCTGCTCGGGCACGTGCTGACCTTGGGGAAGAGCCCACATGTGGCCCTGTCGCGGCTGAGCCAGCACTATGGAGACGTGCTGCAGATCCGCATTGGCTGCACGCCTGTGCTGGTGCTCAGCGGCCTGGACACCATCCGGCAGGCCCTGGTGCGGCAGGGCGACGATTTCAAGGGCCGGCCCGACTTCTACAGCTTCACTCTGGTGTCTGATGGGCAGAGCATGACTTTCAACCCAGACTCTGGACCAGTGTGGGCTGCCCGACGGCGCCTGGCCCAGAATGCTCTGAAGAGTTTCTCCATTGCTTCTGACCCGACTTCTTCGTCCTCCTGCTACCTGGAGGAGCACGTGACCAAGGAGGCTGAGTACCTCCTCGGCAAGTTTCAGGAGCTGATGGCAGGCCCTGGGCACTTTGACCCCTACAAGTATGTAGTGGTGTCAGTGGCCAACGTCATCAGTGCTATATGCTTTGGCCAGCGCTATGACCATGACAACCAAGAGCTGCTTAGCCTAGTCAACCTTGGTAATGAGTTTGGGGAGGTGGCTGCCTCTGGGAACCCAGCCGACTTTATCCCTATCCTCCGTTACCTGCCCAACACTGCCCTGGATCTCTACAAGGACCTGAATCAGAGGATTTACATCTTCATGCAGAAGCTGGTCAAGGAACACTATAAAACGTTTGAGGAGGTACAGGCTGGGGAGAGGCGGTGGGTGGTAGGGAGCAGGTAGGGTCAGGAGGTCAGAGATAACTGGAGCGGCATGGAGTTTGACAGGCTTTCACAGGCCTTCACCCTGGGATTTTGAAGCCAGTGATGAAGGAGACTCCATCCTTGGCAGGGAAGTAGAACTTTTTCTTGACCAGCCCTTTTGTCTTTCCATCAGGCAGCAATAATCACTGACTAGCGAGTCCGTGCAGGACCCCGGGCTAGTTGTTGTGGGGACCAGGATGAGTTAGAGTTGGTCTTCTGGCCTCATGGGGAGAGAAAAGGGCAAAGAGCACATCCAGATGATAATGGTACCAGGCTCTGTGTCAGGTGTCCCTTGAGTTGGGGCTGCTGGTATTCTGAGTCAGGAGAGAGCTTTGGAGAGGCAAGAGAAGCTGGAATGGCAGCCTCAGGGGTGGGGGCGGTCACCTCTTGAATGAAGGTGCTAGGGATGGTGAGGGACTAGGTGAGGGACTAGGCCAAGCTGGAGAGGCAGGTCCAGGTTTGGGATCTTGCTCACCTGTGGGCCTCCGTACCCAGGGCCACATCCGAGACATCACAGACAGCCTGATCAAACACTGTCAGGACAAGAGGCTGGATGAGAATGCCAATATCAAGCTGTTGGATAAGCAGATAGTTAATGTCGTCCTCGACCTCTTTGGAGCTGGTATGAGCTACCCCATTGTGCCCTTCCTGTGCCCAGCTGCCTTGGCCCACCAGCCATCTAACTTCTCCCTCTGTTCTCTTCTGGCTAGGGTTTGACACAGTCACAACTGCCATCTCCTGGAGTCTCATGTACCTGGTGACAAGCCCCAGTGTGCAGAAAAAAGTCCAGGAGGAGCTGGGTAGGTGGTAGCTTCCTTTAGAGTGCTCAAGGCAGGCGGCCCAGCCAAGGTCTGAGTGGCCCCTTCACCTGTCTGGTCCTTTGTGTTCTGCAGACACGGTGATTGGCAGGGTGCGGTGGCCTCGGCTCTCCGACAGACTTCAGCTGCCCTACTTGGAGGCCTTCATCCTGGAGACCTTCCGACACTCGTCCTTCATCCCCTTCACCATCCCCCACAGGTGAGGCCCTAGGGATCCACTGCTATCTGATGCTGGGCCTTACTCCAGTCCATGTACCTAATCAGGGTGTTGGAAGGGACATGATATGGGAGGCAGGGGGATCTCCTAGTGGCCGGCCCTGAGCCTGACTGAGCTTCCTCCCTCCCCAGCACCACAAGAGATACAAGCCTGAATGGCTTTTACATCCCCAAGGGGCGTTGTGTCTTTGTGAACCAGTGGCAGATCAACCATGACCAGTAAGTTGAGAGTGGTGGGGGGGAGCTCTATCCTCTCCTGAGCCTCACACTCTGCTAATCCCTGGGCCACTTGCCTAAATCCTATTCTTTTGGGCTGGGGCTCAACCCACTCGATGCTTCTGAGCCCCCAAGCTGCCAATTCAGCTGCCTCTCTTCGATTATAGGAAGCTGTGGGATGACCCATCTGAGTTCCGGCCTGAACGGTTTCTTACCCCTGATGGCACCATCAACAAGACACTGAGTGAGAAGGTGATTCTCTTCGGCATGGGCAAGCGGAAGTGCATTGGTGAGACCATTGCCCGCCTGGAGGTCTTTCTCTTCCTGGCCATCCTGCTGCAGCAGGTGGAATTCAGTGTGACCCCAGGTGTGAAGGTGGACATGACCCCCATCTATGGGCTGACCATGAAGCATGCCCGCTGTGAGCACTTCCAGGTGCACATGCGCTCTTAGGAGCAGAGACCCCTGCAGCCTAGCTGACCCTGAGGACCTAAGCTTTGGCTTGAAATTCATGGATACTATCTGGCTGAATTTTTGCTGTGTGAGCTGTGTGCAAACCTGAGGAATCATACCTGCCCCCCACCCTGAACTTGTCCCTCTGCATGCTGCCCAGAGGCAGTGGATACAGCATGGGCCACACAGGAGCTGATGAACCCTTCTGAAGCTTTGCTTGAGCTAGGAGACCTGGTAGGGTTAGGGGGTCCTCAGTCCTCTGGAATCCTCTGACAAGCTCTCTGGAAGCCCTGGGGCCCAGCAGCTAGCTAGCTTGAGAAACGGTTACAGCAGGTCATACCAGGGCCTGTCCAATCTCTCTTTTTTTTTTTTACATTTTTTATTGATTCATAATCATTTTACAGTGTT